AGACAGCCATGTTGGCGGAAAGGCCAGCGCCAATGAGTGTGAGGTGGACATGGAAGAGCTGGAGCACATGCCAGTTGGAGAAGGCCAGGATGCCCGCGCGCTGTTGGAGACTTTTGAAAGCGGGCGCTGTTGTCGGAGTTTCTTGTCCAACTTGCCCTTGTTCCGGCACGAAGCGCGGTCTCTGTCGGCAGCAGCAGACGCATGGCACGCGGAGTTCGCAGACTTGTGCGAAGATACTGTCAATGGGGCAACCGCCATGCACGTGCAGCCGTATTTAGGAGACACGGCCCTTGCTAGTCCTGTTACAAGCAAGTTCGTGGACGACCGACATGCCTGCAGTCTTCTATGTAGATGTTGTGTACGCTCTAGTTAGCAGCATCTTGCACAAGGAGTTGCACGTGCGGCTGAACGCCCGCTGGAACACTCGCAACAGATATTGGACAGCCGCCACGGCCGACATAGGCCAGGGAAAGTCGCCCGCCGTGCAGCCGTTGTTTGACGCGATGGAGCGCGTCTTGCGCCGCAACCCTTCGTTTGCCGTTGGAGCTGCGAACGATAACTTCCATTTCCAACAGGCCAGCACCACTGCGTCTGCTGTGCTAAAGCTGCGGCAGTGCAACGGCTACTTGACGATGTTCAGCGACGAAAGTGGGCTGTGCTTATCGCCAGCGCTGGCAACCGGTGGCTGTACTGACGCTGCGAAGCACGTGGACTTGCCCTTGTTTCTCAACGCTGCGCACGGCGGTCTCTTTTCTTGGAGCAACCGTCCAGACCGTGAGCGTGCTCTAAAGGCCGCAGCAGCCCCACCATGTCCAAGCGAGGCTGTGCCCGAGGCAGTAAGCTTGACGTTGGCGCACACTAACGTCCACTTTGTTTTGATCGGTCAAGAGGATGTGTTTGCCAAGTTTTGGGCGCAGCTGGCCCACGCAAAGCAGATAGGGTTGGCGCAACGCTTCCTCTTGTCTTTTGGAGTGCGCCAGTGCACAGCATGTACCAAGTGGAACGCTTTCTTTCAGAGCGTGACCTTGCCAATTCTCGAGCAGCTCTTCACTATTGTTTTGCACCGTGTGGGCCCGCACACACCGGCACCGCCGGAAAATTTTGAGCTCACAGCGCAGCAGGAGGAAGAGGTTGACAACTTAGGGCAAATTCGCGCTCTGTTTGAAGGGAGGGAGTCTGCGCGCAAAGTGTTCCGGCAGGCCATGCCAAAGACCATGTACTGGTTCGGAACCAGCCTGTTGCTCAACCATTTGATGGAACACTGCTGGTCGCACGCTCTTGCCCGCACTGTGCCGGAAAAGCTACCCACAGTAGTGTCTGACGCAGCCTTCTGCGCAGCGGCTGCCTTTGTGCACCGCCGGTACGTGTTTGGCCACGCAGTGTTGAGTGTGTCAGCCCAAGAAGCTGCGTGGCTTGCAGCGGAGCGCGCGCTCCCAAAGGAGAAGGGCGACCTTACACCCACAATCCTGAAGCTTCTGCGTGGCAACCCTGGTAGCTGTGTCACTCGCGGATCTTGCAGCGTGGGGATGAGTTTGAGCGCAAAGTAGCAGAGCAGCATTACTAAGAGTCGTTGGGCGAACCCGTACTAAGAGTCGTTGGGCGAACCCGTGCTCAACCACTTGTACAGCGGCCGCCACTTTCACAGTGGCCTCCATGCCACTTGTACAGTGGCCTGCCACTTTCACAGTGGCCTCGCGACACAACGTGCTCGACGCTGCGCCTGCTTGGCGCTGTGCCTGCTCGGCACTACGGTGCCCGCTCGGCACTGTGCCCGCTCGGCACGTCCTACGGTGCCCGCTCGGCACTGTGCCTGCTCGGCACTGTGCCCGCTCGGCGCGTTGCCTAAGTGCCCGCTCGGCACTGTGCCTGCTACGGTGCCCGCCCGGCGCTGTGCCTGCTCGGCACGTCCTACAAGTGCCCGCTCGGCACGTTACCTAAGTGCCCGCTCAGCACTGCCCCAACCCGCCCCCCAGCGCCAGACCCTCACAGTTGTGCTTCGCCAGGATGTCCGACATGCCGCCTGACAGGAAAAAAACGGTGGGGGGGCAGGGCGCCACATGCCAAACTCATGCAACACATGCAAAACCGTGCAAAAAACAAGCTGTTCCACATGTCAAAATCATGTCATGCAAAAAACAAGCTGTTCCACGTGTCAAAATCATGTCATGCAAAAAACCGCACCATGCAAAACCCATGTCAAAAACCATGCAAAATCGTGCGAAACGTCCGCACTGCCCCGGAGAATGCGCGTGGCGCGTACGCCGGAGGCTCCGATGCCGGGCAGGTGGCGCGGCCCACACGTCTCCGCCACGCAGCTCATCTCATGCAGACGGGTCAGGCGAATGCTTCTCGCACTTGGTCTGCGATAGCAGGATGGAGAATTTTGCTGTTTTGCAGGGTTTTTCGGCCCAAAAACGAAAATAATTAGGGTGGTATATGTTCCTTACTACTGAGGTGGTCTACAGCGTGCGCAGCAGCAGCAGCAAGCTGGACGGGGCGCCGGGACTTCTTCCGCCCGGAGGCTGAGCAACGGTACCTACCACCCCATCCACGACGCGGTCCTGGGCTTGTAGCTGGAGTGGGTCTACCAAAGCATCTGCGGCTTGTTGCGGGGCTCTCTGGACATCATCTTGCTTTTCATACCAACTGTCAATCATCGTAGGCCGACTGCCTCTCAGTCTACCTCGGGCTGCGCCTCGGGCTCGGGCTGGGCTTAGCCTTGAGCTTGGGTGCGGCGTAGGGCTTGGGCGCTGCCGCGGGCTTTGTCTTGGGCACTGCGCTTGGCTTGGCCGCAATTGCGCCGTGTTTGTTGGGCGCTGGCTGAACCCGTGGGACCAAAGCGTCTTCATCTCTTGCCGGTAACTGCGGCAACTTTGCCTGCAGCCCGTTCGACGCCCCGGCGCTTGGCGCGCGCTAGCGCAGCTGGGGGACCTGTCGGTGCACGGCCTCCGTCAGCCGGCTCACGTCCAGGTGTCGCTGCCCCTCCTGCCACGCTTCGAGCAGGCGGTGGGCTACATCGAGCAGGGAGAGCGATTCCCGAGGAAGGCTTCCGCACTTCCGCAGAGGCCGGACGAAGGCCGGCGCCCTGGAGGGCCCGCTCTTTGCGGGCCGCAGCATGGCTGACGGCGCGCAGGCAGCGGCGGACCTGGTGGGCGTAGGAGCAGCAGGGTTTGCAGACGTGCAGGCCTTCCGCTGCCTCGCACACCCAAAACCCCCCAAAAGCTCCCTTCACTCAGTTGGCAAGCCCGGTTTCGCAGCACCCTGGCCTGGGGCTTGAATCCCGGCAAGCCTCGATCCCCAGCAAGGGTGCCAACTCGGCCTCGATCCCCGGCAAGGGTGACCTCGGCGGCTTCTTGCCCATTCATGAACCAAAAATGAATCAATATTGACTCAATATTGCCGGTGCCCTTTTTCAGCCCAAAAAGGTAGGGTGACAAGTGACAAAAAGAGTGACAAGCTCGGCAGGTTGGCGTGTCAGGACCCTGTGTTTGGCTGAAAACGCAAAATTTATGCCTTACTACTTTCTGACCGAAAAGGACGAGGTTTTCAGGAATTCGGGAAATTGGCCGTTTAGCGCCCTTTTTCAGCCCGAAAGGCCCCGCTGACACGGGGGTGACAAAGGGGTGACATGACAAGCTTGGCAGGATGGAGCAAAGGCTGTTTTGGCAGCTTCTTCGGGCCAAAAAAACGGAAATCGATAGGGGCGTACGTGTCAGGACCCTGTTTTGGCAAAAAACGCAAAAATCGATAGGCCTATGCCCCTCTTACTACTTTCTAACCGAAAAGAACGAGGTTTTCAGAAATTAAGGAAATTGGCTGTTTTGCGCACTTTTTGCACCCAAAAGGTAGGGGTGACATAGGGGTGACTTCTTTGTCACCCCTACCTTTTTGAGGAAAAAAGGCTGTTTTAGCAGCTTTTCCGGGCCAAAAACGGAAATTAATAGGGGACTATAAGCTGATGTTCCTTACTACTAAAATCCCTCACCCCAAAACCCTTAGAAGGTGGACAACAAACAAAGGAGGGGGGAGGGAAGTGCACATACACGCATCACAACTAAAACCAAAGGAACAGTGCATGTCGGTCAAAAGTGGTGGAACTCTTTTTCATAGAGCATGGGGTAAAGGCGATACAGCTACAAAGCTGTTTAGACTATTCTGGCATTCAATGCACTCCATGCCGCGCAAGCAAGACGCACATGCTGTCTTGCGGCGTGCATTGAGGACTTGGTTTTCTCGTGAATCTGCGCAGAACGGATTCGAACACCGCAAGGCTTGTCATCCTCGGCACAGTGCGAAAGAAGATTTGTCCCGCTAGCTGAGACTGTTTCACGAAAAAACAAAGCCGGGGGGCTTTGCGCAGTGCGTCGCTTTTGCGCAGCCCGAGATTCCTGCGCAACCCGGAGCAAAGAAACGTGGCTGTTGTTGCTGCTACGGGTTGGCTTGGGGGTGTCAAGCAGTGCATGTATCTTACAACACTATTTTATGCTTTCTCCAGCCTGGGTGCCCCATCGTTTCACATAGTTATCGCAAGACTTGCCAAGCAGACTGGTCGGTGGACATGAATCTCCACTTGCATGATGTTCCCAATTGAACTCATTTATGTTTCACCTTCGAGTTTATTCAAGCTGCGCGGAGAATCTTGCACCAGTAGGCACGTGGCTTATCCCAGTCTTTGTGGGTTGGATGCGTCCCTGGTACAAATTTTTATATCCATGGTGTCTATGTGGGCGCTGATGGCGAGCCGCTGCGGCCTTTGTGCCCAAGCTCGCTGCACCCGGACGCGAACATGGCACTCAACAAACTTAGGCCCGCGAGCCTTCCTGATTTGCCCTTTTCGTTGCGTTTCTTGTTAGTGGGGTGATGTGAAAGGGTTGGGAGGCACTCCATTCTACTTGTGGAGAGCCTAAAAGGGCAATACTAGTCTGTACGTCCTCCAAGTGGGTTGTGTCCAAGGATGCCAGCGACTTAGACAACCTTCGCCGAAGGGTCTCGCGCGATAGGATCGATTCCGTGGACGTCGCCGGCAAGCGCGTGTTCATCCGAGTAGACTTCAATGTTCCTCAGGATAAGAAGGCGAGGACTTGCGGGGTTTGGGCTTGATGTGGGTGCGTCATTTTTTAAGGGGAGCTGTGTTTGTGTTGGTTGGAGGGGAGGAAAGGCGCCATTTGAAAGGTCCCCTTTGTGAGACAACCCTAGATTATATCGGTGTGGTCGACGGCTTGGCTTGATCAGCCGGCTTTGTTTGCAAACAAAATTGAAACCTCCCATCATCTGGGTCGATTTGAATGTGCGAGATGACGCCATATGGGGTGTGTTCGTTTTTGAGGCTCCCCATAGGTGCCCCCACATCCAAGGAGTCCTCGTGTTCGGATGCTCCATGAGACTCACGGAGAGACTCACGGAGCTTGAGGACCCCAGCGTGATCACCAACACCCAGCGGATTGACGCGGCGCTGCCGACCATCAAGTACTGCCTGGATAAGGCTGTGTAGCCGGATGCGTTTTCGCAAGCTCCGAGACCCCAAGCGTAAAACACGTTTTTTTTTTTTTTTTTTTTTTTTTTTTTTTTTTTTTTTTTACCTGTGAAGACTCGGGGTCTTATGACTTTGTTTTTTTCTTCTTCTTTTAATTTTTGTCTCCCGGTAAAGACTGGGGGTTTATGATCCCCTTGGTTTGGAAGCATCACCAAAGTGGGACCAATGGGTATTCTGGTGGTTCTAAGGCCTATGGATATTCAGGGAAACATAGTTCGGATGGTTGCGAGATCCGTTCTCACCAGCGTTCAGTGGAATGATGGATTGTTTTGCTGCAAATGCAATGCAACCTTCTTTATGGTTTCATTCCCGTGGTCTCATGTCGTGGTGCGCGTTGGGATGTCGCAGGGCTGCCGCTCGGTGGTGCTCTGTTCCCACTTGGGACGCCCGGATGGCAGCGCCGTGGCCAAGTGACCGCGTCCGTCGCGCGCCCGCGTTGGCGTCTTTGGGAGGGGCGGCGCGTTTTGGCTGAGTCGAGGAGGGAAACTCATCCGTGCGAACGGGGTTTTTTTCGCTGCATGGTTTTGTATCTTTTTTTGCCTATCACACTTGTCGTCCCCAAAAGGATTTCCAGAAGAGCTGCTTTGAGATCTTTTCCCCTGATATTTTTTTGGGGTCTCTCAGATCGACTCTGGGCTTTGGGCTGTCGGAGTCTTCCGGGTTCGCTGCTTTGGATCTTCGCCGGGCTTGTTGCGCACACATGTGGCAGTGGGTAAAAAATGGGCTAACCCCAACAATGGGTTGCCCCGGTAAATGGCAAGGCCTGAAATTCCAAAACAAGGCCTGAAATTCCAAAACCTGTGGTCCACTTCCTGGCGGTTTTTAACATTTTGACCACCACACCCCTGGATATCCCCTTCGCGTCCGTCTCAACCAATCGGAGGTACTCCTTGGAGCCGGTGGCCAAGTGCCTGGAGCAGAAGCTGGCGAAGCCGGTGGCCTTCCTGCAGGCCGGCGTCGTTCGGCTTCCTTCGGTTGGCAACTTCCGCCGAGAAGCGGAACTCGCGGCGGGTTTTTCGGTTCGGTTTTTTTGGGGGGGTCGGTCGGGGTCGGTCGGTCGCCGGGAAGTGGGCGAGCGAGGGAAGGAAGGAAGTCGTCCGGAAGCTGTTTCGGCGGGGTATGAAGAGTTTGAGCGGCAGAGGGGAGGCAGGGAAGGAGAAATTGGAGTCTGACCCCAAGAAAAACCGAATCCCAACTGGTGGCTTCCTTTCCCACATTCCCTACCTATGGCACTACTTTGGCCTTCGGGGCAGACTTTGGAGCCTGGATGGGGTTGGCCCGGACCCAGCAAAAAAAAACTGTTGGTCTCCTTGATCGGCCCTTGACACCAACCAAAAGGACAAATGACAGAGGTCGACATTTCCAGTCTTTGACAAGAGGGCTTGGGACGAGAAGGGATTCCAACGCAAAAGCCTGGGGTGTATGGCAAGTTTCGACCGTGGCAGGAAAGTTTATGCGTCATCAAAGAGACTGGATGTCCTTCAGGGGCCGTGCAGCAGATGGTTGTAGGGTATCATGCGGCAGCTATCCGCGAGCCTCAACAGAACACACCCGAGAAAAGAAAGGGTGACTCTGGGGAGCGGGTTTGCCTCAGGTCCAAGTGTGCGGCTTTCTGAAAGGCATAGATGAACACTACACTAGGGTGCAAAGGTAGGCAAGGCAGATGTTGCTCCTTGCTTCCATCTACCAGGGTTGCCTTTTGGGTTGCCCTGTTTTTGACCGCCCAAGTCTTTCCCTTCCCACAGGTTCTGGGCTTGCTGGAAAGGGGCGGGGTGGAGGGGTCGCTCGTCGGTTTCGGACCCAACCTGCGAGTCTTTCTCTTTTAAGCAGACACTCAACCGGTGGCAGGACCCGGTTGAACCAAACACTGGCTGTTTCTAAGGAGACATAGTTGAATCACCAGTCATGCCTGGAATTCCACATATGATAAGGCTTCTTTTGATCCCACGACTGGACAAACTGCTGGCTGTTATCGACCCGATTTGAGCATACCATCAACCACGTACTTTTGCATGTCGTTGTTTTTCTACGAACTTGTTTGCTCCATTCATCTTGTTTCATAGGCTTTGCTGTTTTGATTCATGCTTTTCTTGACATGACATGGGTTGCCCCCGACCAACGACATTTTTTGCTCTTTTTGTTTTCTCTTTTGCTCTTTGCTTCTTGACAGGCCCTTTGGACAATTCATGGTAATTGCTTGTTTGGGGGCTATGTGTGAATCTGACGGACCCTTTAAAACCGATTACGGCACACACACACACACACACACGCACAAACACACACACACACATACACACACACACACCAATTCCTATCATTTTCAGTGTCAAAGCCCGTCCGTACTCCTTCTTTGCGCGCGTGCCCTGTTTGTTTGACGCACTTATAGGCGGTCATGGGCCCTATGGGGAATTGGTGACGCACATGATGCACTGAGCCAGATCATCAATCCAACATGAGCTGCTGTTGACTCGGTCTGCTCCAACAGGTTGAGGGTTGGCCCGGCGTAGAATGCTGGATTAAAACCATTTTATTATTTGGGGTGTCAGGGAAGGATTCCTAAAGGGGAACCTTACCTGAAAGTGCGAAATAAATTCTGTCTTCCAGGGCGCACCGATGTCATTTTGTGGCCACCCTTCTCCCTCCCGGAGGTTTAAGCAGCAAAATCGAGGTTTGCGCCCCCGACTCACAAGCTGGGAGCAAAGGCCATCGGGTTTCCTCCGTGTTCCTTTGGCAGTTCAAGGGCTCCCGTCCCCTGAACGAACATTGGGCATGACAATTCGTCTTGGTAGTTTTTGGGATCGGCTGGAGGGGCCTTCATTCTTTCCGTTTATGAATAGCAAGAAGCGATATGAGCTGGCCTGGGGCACTTCAGCTGAATTGGGGTGTCTCAAGCTAGGGCACCCCTGAACCCAAGGGACACCCATTTGGGAAGGTTAAGGGACACGAGGAAACCGCTTGCCAAGGGTCCCCAATCACACCGTCGCCCGCGTTTTGGTTGGCCAGGACTGCGTCGGCCCGGAGGTGGAGAAGCAGTGCGCGAGCCCGGCGCCGGGCTCGGTGATCCTGCTGCAGGCGCGGAGTCGAGGACGGAGGCGGTTCTCCCAGTCTCGGCCCGCGAGTTGTTTTTGGTTGGTTTGGTGTTTTTTTTCTTCTTCTTTTCTTTTTTCTCCCGCATTTATACGTCCGCGAAAAGTTGTTCACTCCTAGCACAGTTGAGGTTGGTTTGTTGGGAAAGAGGAACACCTACCAGCTGTTGAATTTTTAGGGAATTCAATGTTTTGATAGATACGCCATCTGTTCAAACAGCCAGCCTGGCCCGATTCCAAAAGAACGGGCCAGCCAAGAGGAGGCTGTGACAAGCCTGACCCCGCGACCCTGGCTGTCGACTATTGTTTTGTCCGGCCTCGGTTGCTCTTTGGTACGACAATTTTTTTGTTTGCAAGCGATTCTTAGGACAAGCCAAGGATAAGCCAAGGATAAGCCAAGGGATTAATAAGGGATACCCCTCTCCTCGGTCCCCCAAAAAGGGTCCCCCTTTTTTTTGCTGTTCCGCAGGTTAAAAATTCGCCGATCGCTGGGTGCGGGTGTCTCAGCCAGCGAGGCTGACCCGAAAAAAACATAAAACACCCCGAAAGACACGTTTCTGAACACGTGGTGTATGTCATTTTTTTGTTTCTCGTGGCCAGAACTGCCGCTACCACGTAGAGGAAGAGGGCAAGGGTGTGGACAAGGAGCCGAGGGCCAGTGATGGCGGGGCCTGGACTGGCAAACGCAGGGTTGGGCAAGATATTGTCAGACCGAGCGAGCCGGGTTCCCCTTCAAAGGGCGGTAGAGTGGTAAGTGACTTCAAGGTCAAATCGCCCCGTTGCCCTTTGAGTGCAGGCCCTTCTGCTGCCGGTGTGTTGGGGATAAGCCAGACCAGACCCACACTCGAAGTGTGGAAGGAATGTGCGTTTCTGACGTAGGTAACACCACCTGTTAAGCCAAGCCAAAATCTCATGAAAACCCTCCTACCAGAAGCACAGAAAGTGCAAGTGTTGGGGTAGGCAATCCAAGCTCCATTTAATTAAGCAACAATTTTGATCAGCAGCATGCGCACAAATGGATGCACACGCTCCTTCTCATGGATGACCAGAAGGGAAAACCACCTGAAACGTGAAATTTCTCACATGGGAAGTTACCCACATCACTTGGGGCCCTAAAAGGAATGTTGATCAACCCCATATTTGGGCCTGAAAATGGGGGGCGGTGGCACTATCGAGGACGGAAACAAGATCAAGGCCGACAAGGAGAAGACCAAGGCGGGCTCCCGCAAAGCAGCAAGAGACGGGCAATTTTGGAAGCCAAAGACGACTTCGGACCAGACTTTTATCATACCGGGGCTTTCCGAGTCGTTTGAAGGTCTGGGAACTTGCTTCTTGTTTTTGAAGGTGTGGGAACTTGCTTTTTGTCCGTTGAAAGGGTCATGGCTCAAACTGAAAGATGTTTGCAGCCCACAAGGACCGCAAGACCCAAAGGTCGATGCACACACACACACACACACACCCCACTTCAACCGGCCTGTTTTTCGTTGATGAATTCGTGCGGGATGAATTCAGAACGGTTCCTTTGCAAGGGTTGACCCCATGGCCCCAGAACCCCAATCTGGGTCGACCCCATGATCTCTGAGGCACAAATGGTAGTCTGGAAGACGGAAAGATTTGACACCTGAATTGTTTCTTCAGCCAACGAGAGGGGTCACCTGGAAAAAACCGAGAGGGCCTTCCAACTGCCAGTCACCATCTGCAGGACCATATCAGCGATTGCGCCTTTTTTTTTTCTTCCCCAATATCGTGCGGTGCAGTGTTAGTCCTCTCAGGAAACAACTCAATTCTCTACTTCAGAGAGGCGATATTTTTCTCACTCATTCGTTTGGGATTGAGGAACTCAAATGGAACTCTGGGGATCCCTGAAAGCGCGCGGACGTGCATGCACCCTTTCTGGCTTGGCGGAGACGAGTCTGTTTTGCGTCGAGAGGAGTTCCGTGCCTCGCTGGCGAAGCTGGCGGATGTTTACTGCTGCGGCCCCAGGAAAAAAAGCAAGCAGACGCGCCTCGACTCGACTCGATGTGGGCGGGGAGGGGACCCCCCTGTGCTTTGGATGCAACCACATGGAGCGAAAGGCCAAAGACCTGTAACTGAAGGGCAGCCGAAGCAGGAGAACACTTATTTGTTGTGGTATACGGATTCTTATTTTGCTTCGTGCCGAATTCATGGTCTATGCAACCTATATCCTCAGAGTTTTGCCCGCAACTCCGAAGCGTGTCCACAGAATGCAGTGACACCTGCCTCATTCAGCTTGCACCCGAAAACCTCGAGGAAGCTGGGAGCTGCAACCTTTCCGTTTCCTCCAAAACAAGGAAGGCCAACGCCTCATGTACAGAAAGGGGGAGGGGAGACACTCCACAAGCCTCCGTGCTGGAACAGGCTCGCTGGGGCCAGGAGGCCACAGGTTCAACAGTTTCAATGAGCTGTGTCTTATGCATGAGGTTGGGGTTGTTTGAAAAAGGAACATGTTTTGGGGCTTGGACACAATCCCCCGTAAGCTGCCAGCCACGTAGGGTGACTTTCACTGATGGGTCTCGCCGCGACGCCTCGAGGCAGCGACGCCTTCGGCACGGCGCACCGCGGGCACAGCTCCATGGTGGGCGAGGTTCGGCCAAGGGACAGGTTTCGGCCCTGTTGGGTTTCAGGTGCAAACGGTCGGTTTTTCAAGCAGCAGGATTCTGTTTTGATCCTCAGAATGGATTACTTGGGTCACCGGGTTTGAAGACTTTTTGCATTTTCAGGGGTCCGAATGACTGGACAGTTTCTTCACCTAGAAGTGATAGTTGAGGGGTTCTTGATTGGGTCATGATCTGTATCGTTTGGGAGGATCTCACTCTAGCGCGCCCAGATCAAACAGACTGGAGCTTTTTGCCCTGATTCCCCTTTGAAGGGGCCAAACGAGGCCGACTTGTTTTTTAAGATTCCCGACGTGTTAAAACGTTCAGGATGATGGTCGGTGACTTGGGGACACAGTCGGGTGAAAGTGCTCTCATTGGTTTAGTGCTCTCCTTGCTCTTTTGGGTCGGCCCAACCGTTGCCCGCAACGAATCCTCACGCAGACCCCAAACTGCACATCCATGGCTGGGGCCCTTGCTATATAGGTTTTTGGTGGCCACCTTCTGTCGAACGGGAATCCGCCTGCTAAAAAGACAAAGTCATTTGGACGGATGACTTTGGTATGACGCAATTCTAAAGCTCCCTCTGCCGAAGCGCTTGTGTTGCTGCATGCCACCGCCGCTCAGACTGAGTGGGAGGTAGGGAGCACTCCAGAAAAAACAAAAACAAAAAAAAAAAAAAAAAAAACAAAAAAAAAACATGCCAATTCGTCTAAGTGGACAGATCAGGGGAGCAGCACTGCCCCCCGATCTCTCATCGAAGCTGTCAGGGCTACCCCGTGAAGTGCTCCGGCTTCTTGGTAGCCAAGGAGCGGCGAGGGGCTGGGAGGGGCTCCCTGGAGCCCAGCAGCATCAGCTCGTACGACTCTACGACAAATGCCGTGAAGACTCACGCAAGACGTCTAGCCTCCAGCCCTGAAAACGTCCGCTGGAGAAACTCCGGCCCAGCGAGCAACAGGTTGGGATGGTTTGATGGTTTTCTCAAGTTTTTTTTTTTTTGTATACATAACTCTTGACGTGCAACAGGCCGACATCTTCCAGTTCCTTTTCATCCCCTCAAAAGGTGTATTCTGTAATTTGAAAGAAGCGGTAAATACAAACCGGGACCCAACAACGGACAGACATTTGTAGGTGTATTTGTTTCACACTACACATCATTTTCTGGGCGAGACCTCAACAAAAGGCCACAACTTTTGGGAGCCGACAGGACTATGTCCGCTTCATGATTTTTCTGATGTCCCATCCGTGTGGCAAGTTACAATCACGCGGGCTGGGGGGGAGGGAGGCTCCCCCCCCTCTCCCTCCCCAAGGCTGCCGAGGGAAGCCGAACCTCGATCGCTGTTGGTTTATTGCGTGTAAAGCCACCGCATACCCCAAGGTGTCCGGAGCCATGGTTCAAGTTTTTCGGCCGAAGCTTGGACTCTCTTGCAAATAATCTTCACTGTGGTTGGCATGCTTGTTTCGGCTTCTTGTGTTCTTTTCAGGTTCTCTTTTCATCTTTTAGGTCGGAGTTCCAAGCAAACAAAGAGAGCTAGCCAACAAAAACCCGGAAGCTAACAGTACTTTCCCTTTATGATGGATCACACATTTGATCAATGTTTACTTGTTTTCATTGATCACATGGGTATTGTTGTAGTTTACCAATCTCAATACCATGTTGTGTAAAGGTTCGATTCTGGAATATACGACCCCGTTTTCACATGGTCCACGGTCCACCCGCAGCCCAGTCGCCGGGTCGCCCGAGCAAAGTCGCGAGGAGTTGGAGGCCTTTGCGAAGGTGTTGGACAGCCCGGTGCACCCAGTCTGCGCCATCTTGGGAGGCGCCAAGGCTGGGGCTGGGAGAGGGGAGGGTGGCCAGGAGGTTGGTAGTTGGTGGAGGGGGTTGGTGGAGGGTTGGTGGAGGGGTGGAGGGGGGGGGGGGGCTGGCGAGGGTTGGGGGATTGATTGTTTTTTTGGGGCAGGGAGGGAGGGTTTTTCGGTACTCCTGCGACCTTGGAACACCACGGCGCCCCTGCATGCGGATCCACACGGATTCTCGTGCGTGCCGACCACACCGGTGTCCGTGCGCCCACGCTTGTCACTTGTTGCCATGGTGCTTTCCATGTGTTTCTGTGTGTGGCACCCTCCGGAAAATCTGTGTGTGCCTCCGTCCTGTGAAGGTGCTGGTGCTGGGCAGGGTGCTGGTCGGGGTGCTGGGTGCTGATCGTGCTGGTGGGGACTGGCGGTGCTTGTTGGGCAGGCTGTTTGGGGCGAGTTCGGGTCAGGTTGGCGCTGCAGCTGCCTGTCCGGGTGCTTTTTGGGGTGCGGCGGTATGGCTGCCTTCCTTTGCTTACTTGGCGATGCAGTTATATAGGCTGCTGTGCTGTGGTGCTGTGGCTTTTCTCCCATGCCATTTGGGGTCTGTGCTGGTGCATTTTTATGTAAGGGAGTTGCATAAAATCTGAGCCATGGTAATTATTCACAGCCCCCACTCACACCGGAGGTCAACATGGACAGTCCCAAATAGGTGCTCCTCTTTTGTCGAAGGAAGAACAAAAGGATCCACACATGCTTGGTGCTAGGCAGTGTTGAACAATGAAGAATGAACATGGATCAATCCGTAGGGAGCCTTCATTGCGACAACCACCCATAATTTGAGCGTTTGGCCAACAATTGGAGCTCATAATGGGGGGAGCCAGCAACTTCAATTCCATGTTTCTAGTCTTTTCCATAGCGAAAATGGAACCACAACCCCCACTTCATTAAGGGGTTCTCCTTTTTAAAAGGATCTTCAGAAGAATAACATCAACTCAAATGGTCATTTGGACCATACTCTACAGTGTGATCACGTGCCCCGGAATCGCAGTGCCATAGGTTTCCATTCCTAGCCTGAACTGTTTGCATCCTTACATTTGGCTCAAGGCAAAAGTCCGTGGGCGGGGGCGGGTCGAATCCCTTAAGTGTTCCTCGTTTGCGGTTGCCATAGCATACACTGGAATCTGTCACTTGACAGTTGCTTGCACGGAGTGCACAACTGGGTTCGGGCGGCGGATTCTTTTGGTTATCAGCCGTATCGCAACGGCTTATTCCTTGCAGCTTGGGTCGACAACTTGATATTGGGTGAACAGCAGCAGGCGCACCTGGTTTTATTGGGTTCAGTTGACGAGCTTCAGGAAAAGTACAGCCACTTGCAGCTTGGAGCGACTACTTGATCTTGAGTGAGAAACACTTGGGGGCATTGGGTACAGTCGACGAGCTCTTGGGGATCCCCGATTTATATGCAATCGGAGGAGCAGCGCGACAAGCGTTTCCGGGAAAACGGGTTGCCTAGGACGAGAGGCAAGAGGGCCGGGAACCCGAATCGTCCATCGCAGCAAACGCAGAGCAGGCCGCGGACGTCTGCAGCCTCACATCGTGGGCCGTCGATCGACTTCGCTCCTCGGGACTCAGACATAGCTATCAGGACAGCGCCTTGGCGACAAACGGAGTCCAGACGCGCACCTCCAGAGCCAGCTGTTTGGGAAGAGGAGGAGGTGGTAGAGATCGAGGAATCTGATCAGGAGGAGGTAGAGATCGAAGAATCTGATCAGGGGGTGAAGGCGGAAGACCAGACGGGATCTTCTACGAGCCGGGCACCACATCCGATACCAGAAGGCATTCGTGGAGTCATCGAAAGACAGCGCTGTTTGTCCTGCGTGTTTCTGAGGGGCAGCGACCCAATTATACTTGGCAGATTCGAAAGGAACAGGATCCACAGAAGTTTGGTTTTCTGTTGCCGGAGAACGAATATCACTGGTACTTTTTGGAGTGCTTGAATATTGGGTCGGCCAAAGAACTCACAGCTGAGACAGAGGCGAGCCATTCGACCAGGAAGCCTGTACCGGAGCCGGCATCAGCTTCATCGACACCAGCACCGAAGCGCTCGACGGGCGGTTTTGTGCCCGAGCCACCGGTTGAGATCAGAGGCTTCATTGAGAGCATTGCCCAGAGTGCTGCAGAACACGGTGACGATTGGCAGTGGGAAGTATATAGAAAACAAGATCGCGCAGCGTACAGTTTTCTGCATCCAGGACACAAGTACCACAGATTTTTCTGCAGCAGAAGGAACGTGCGTTGGCAAACACTGGCCAGGCGACGTATCTACCGACCGAGGCTCCGGAGACGGCAGACGCAGAGGCGGAGCGGCCCCTAGTTGGCATCGATTGGCATCAGACTTTGGAGCGAGACAACGAGGTCTCCCCTGAGATCGCAAACGCCGTCAAAGCCTTGCAGCGGGTCGCAGACGTGCGCATATTCTCCTTTGTCGGTTCAGACACTCGATTGAGAGATACCAGGGACAAGATTGCGGCATCACCAGTTGCTGATCTTGAGGTTCATTTCTCAAGGGGAAAATCCTGGCAATATTCTGCTATCCCACGTAAGGGAGTGGACACAAGAACCAAGGCTCAGCAGTTTTTGGATTCTGGCGGCCTGTGCCTGATTGACGATCAGGAAACCATCCTTTCTGAACTGAAAGGGAGGTGGGAACAGGCCGGACTTCCAGCAGAAGCTGCGCCGTGGGGTGTTCTTGTAGCCACTTCAAAGGACGTGGAGTTGCAGATTAAGGTCCTTACACGGAAGCTTTCGCATCAGCAGTGTAGCAACACGCATCCGAAGCCATCACAGAGGAAGGAGCTGTGGTCACAGGCAAGCCAGTAGATCCGTGGGAAGGTGAAAAGATGTCCGATCGGTCTCGAGAAAGCCGGAGGGACATTCGTGCAGGGATGTCGGCAACTCCCATAGGTGCATCTCCAAGTCAGCCTTCCAGTTCAGATTCTAGTGGCCTCATGCAGGACGATCCCAATCATGTCGCGTTGCAATTGACTCCGAGCCAAGGAAATGATCCAAATCGTGATTCGTTGCAGTTGACCCCATCGCCTACTGGGCAGATGCAAACCCCAGAGTTGATGCCGCCTCCACGGTCGCCTGCTATGCTTGGTGTTTCTTAACCAGACAGCAGTGTTGACATATGACCCCGATCAGATCGAGGCACTTGTTAATGCTAGGGTGGAAGCAGCCTTGACAGCACAACGTGAGTCTTTGAGGCAGGAAGCATTCAATGTGATTCACAGTGCTCAGCAAGACAGGGATGCCTCCATTCATCAAGCACAGAACCATGCTGCCCATGAAATAGGTGTGAGGGATCAGATGCTAAATAGTGCGGATCATGCCCTTCACGATCGGGAGCAAAGCCTAAACGTTGCGAGGCAAGAGATTGAGCGAAGAGATCATGCGATCAGGGAGTTGTCAGAAAAGCTTGCACAAGCAGAGGTTCTCATCCAAAGTCTCAATGAGTCGGTGCAAAGGAATCGTGTTCCAGACCAAGGCACCAGGGGCACCCCTGCTGTGAGCCCTAATTATGACCTCCTTGCCGGAAGCCATAATGACGCGGACTCAAATGCACATGCCCCGCTGCCGTACGGCGCGGGGAGGCCACGGACAAATCTTCGAGCGTGGACCCGGTTGATGGAGGGTTTGCCGATGATGACGGGGACGAAAGTGTGCATGACTCTAGTTCCGGACCCGAATCCAGCTCAAGTAGTGACAGTGATGTGCGAGGGAGCAAGGGTAGGAAGCCATCCAGTAGTTCCGCCTCTGTGTCCATTCAGGGAACAGTGCATGGGGCCTGGGACGTATATTCCGGTAATGAAGATGGGGTTTACAAGGAGAAGAACTTGAAGCTTGTTAAAGTTACAAAGTTGCCTGTTGACTCCACCACATGCCGGGAATGGCGTAGTGCTTTTGTTGCCTCCGTGTCTCGCATCGACACTACCGATGGTGATGTGCTCGCCAAGTATGTGTCGCACTGTTTTGAAGGGGGTCGGGGGAAAAGGTTCCGTGAAGCGTTGCATAATTCGGTTGTGTTCACTCGGTTCAATAAGCATGTTGCAGCAGAGCTCATCCAAACTGATGTTCTGGCAACAAACACCGAGTTGGCTGCTGAGTTCAGTTCCTATGTCGAATCATGTGCACTTCGTGGGCAAGGGCCGAAAGGCGCACCTCTGTTGAATTTGTTGTATCAGCATTTCTCGGTAGGCGCCAGCGGAGTTGCACTCGGACAGATGCATTTGCTGGAATTGAAGCTTGAAGGAAACTCTTGGAGTAATGTTCAGGCATTCATCAGCAAGGCACGGTATGTTAGGAATGGACTCAAGGTAGACGATCGTCCGAGCGATGCTACAATGTTCCATTGGTTATGGCATGAAGTCAAAAGAGTTCCATGTTTGTCAAGGATGACAAACAAAGTTCGGGATTCCTCGAGTAGCTCACACAGACGCTCATTTCAATGGCTCTGGGATGCCATCCAAGATGAGCTGAAGGAGCGTCGTGAGGACTCGAACTACGAGAACTTGACGAAAGGGTTGAAGACGGGCCCACAGGCTCCGCCTCACGGTTTAGCTGCAGGCCAAGCCGATAACCCTCGTGCTAGTTCCGCCCAGACAAACAAGGGCAACTCTGAGAGCAAGCCAAGCAGTGAGCATTCCACGGACAAAGCAGATCGGAACAAGAAAACAAAGAAGGATAAGAAAGGAGAGAAAGAGAGTCAGGGGAAACAGGCCGGACCATCAGCACTTCCAGCACAGAGCAGTGAGGGCAGCAAGGGAGAAAAATGGGTCTGCTCTTATCATGCTGCTGGTTTTTGCAGATTTGGTGAAGCTTGCAAACTCTTGCATGTTGGAGAGCCTGGTTCTCAGAAGGCAAGACAAGCATTTAGTGAATCTCAGAAAGGCAAAGGGAAAAAGGGAGACGGCAAGGGGAAGGAAAAAGGAAAGAAGGGTGGCCAGAAGGGCGGGGCAACCGCCACAGCCC